TAAAAACCATCAAAATTTTATGTATAACTACACAATGCTATAAATTTTGTATCCAAATTATAAAATACATGAAATTTTTTCACCTAACAAATAGAAAGTATGTTAACTAGTTACAAAGAATTATATAACTTCCCCAATTGAATTGAAGTTATCTTAGATATTATATCTATTTCTTGTCGAAATAATATTATATAAATCAAATAATATGAATCATGTATTATTCTCGTATTCATAAAATGCAATCATGGAATATGGACCATAAAATATGATTTTATGATAAGAACATATATACTTGCTTCTTTTTCAAAAAGATTTATAAATTCGCAATTTCTTTTATACCTTAAAATAATTCTTGAGAATTTCATCATTTTGATTTGATAACCATGGTCTTACTAAAATATAACAAGACTATAAAAGATTCATAACCAAAGCTATTAGCTCAAAGATTTGGAATAAACCAAGAGGGGGGTGAATTGGTTTTAATAAAGTTTTCAAAAACAATATTCAATAAGCACAAATTTTGCTAAACAATTAAACACAATAATTGAAAGTAAATAAGAGATAGAGATAGAGAAAATAACACCGCGATTTATAGAGGTTCAGTCCTTTCTTAGGCACCTACGTCCTCTCCCTTAGCCTCTCTTGCCAAGGAGTTCAATCCACTATAAGTGTTGAAGATTACAACCAAGCTTCTCTAAGCTTTACAAACTCAACACAATATACTCTTAAGGGTTATCCTCCCCCTTAAGCTTACAAACTCACAAAATAGAAAAATGAAGTGTTTTGCAAACTCTAAGAACCTCACAAAGGTTGGGTGTTTGCTAAGTTAAAATACACAAAGGTATAGACAAGAGAATGATGAATGAACAACAAAAATAGTTTGGATATAATAAATACAAAGATATAGACTTTGAAGCTCTAAAAACTCTTGATTATTTGAGAGAATAAAAATATTGCTTCTTGACTCTTGCTCTCTTGATTCCTCTGTCTTCTTAGTGTGTTGGAGTACTCCTTTTATAGAGAAATTGATGAACTAACCATTGGGGAAGCTTGGAGTGAAGAAATACCTGTTGAAAGCATGAAAAAGTAGTCGTTGGAGCATTCTGGGCAAGAACCGATCGATCCCTTCTATGAGGGGATCGGTTGGTTCATGTTTTGAACCTTTTTCACTTGAAAATTGCCTAACTGATTGATCCCCTATGTGGAGGGATCGATCCCTTTTCTAGAAATTCAGTCCTGGGCATTCTGGTTGAAAACCAATCGATCCCTTCTAGAGGGGATCGATTTTATCCATGCTCAGCGGTAGTTTCCTATTTTGTACTTTACTTACTAATTTGATCATAACTTGAGTTATACAAATCCAAATTACAAACCGTTTAAAGATTTAGAAACTAGACTTAAAGGGATTTTATCCATATAAATTTCATCACCTAATTCAATATGTACAAATTATAGTGAATTTTCAAATTTACCCTTTGTGCAATTTTTCTGACAACTATAGAGTGTCTAGTAAAAATTTAAAATCTTTTCTTAGAAAATTTGGATTTTGATTTTGTTTCATCCATTAGAAAAGTAGACTAAAAAAAGCTTTCCAACCATATAAAATTCAAATATTAAAACTTTGTGAATTAATACAGAAAAATAAAACAAAATTCAATGTTGGAAAACTATGTTCTTGTAAAACAACTTTCTTAAGTTAATCTATTTCTCAAAACCAATATTGTCAAAATTGTATTAAGTCCAAAATGAATAAGTTCACTTTAAAAATAACAATTGAACTTTCATTTAAGCTCAAACAAATAATCTTTAAAAGTAAATTTGGTTTGAGAAATATGAAAACAAAGAAAGGTTTGTCTAAGCTTTGAAAATCATATTATTTATTTAGTACCAAAATATAAAACTTAAGAACATGTACTAAATAAATCTTTTTCAAAATCTTGATCAAGTTTATTTAGCTTTAATGTTTTGTCATTTCAAAATAAGGATCAATTTAAGGCCAACCAACCAAAGCTAACAAGTACTCCATGTCCATTTTATACTCATGACCATTCAATGCCATGATCAAGAAAATTCACATATAACATACCATAAAATCATGAATAATAAATTAAATAATTTAATTCAAAATCAAAAGATTAAAAGAATAGTTAATAAAGAAAGCAAAATTTAATGAGACTCAAGGTCTCCAATGAATTATTAATTATCAATTTTTTTAGTAGAATATAACAATTAGAAAAATAGTAATAAAAAACTTATCTTGTGTTTAGTATTTATTTCACCAAGAACCATTTGGGCAATTGAAGCTATCTCTATTTGCACTAAAAAAAACCTTTATTTTTATTTATTTTAATGGCAAATCGTGTCATTTTCTCAATGGCATTCCAACATAGAACTTTTCAAATTCATAAACATGACTAATAACACATTGGATGAGTTTCCCTTGAACCTATGATAGCTAGCCAGTGTCTCAATGTTTATGACATGCATTTCTTTTTAATCAATATCCCATATGCGAAAAGCAACAATGCTTTTATGTAACTATTGATTAACTCTTTGTAGGCTATTTATGGTTTTCACTTTGTGATTGTTTACAATAAAATTTTATTTTGTAAAATTACTTTTAATGTAACACACCTAGCAAGTAAAATATATGTTACATTGTATAAGTTTCTGATAATAACAATTATTTGGTTTATTATCCACCAATTAATCCATGAAACATCATATCTTAATAATAATTATTCACATACATCAATTTAATTTTAATTGGTTTTCATGAAAATTGAACACTAGTTAAAAGTTAAACTAATAATAAAATTAAGAAAAAAAATCAACTTTTGATTTATAAATGACCAACAAAGATAGAACTATACAAATAACTTAACTCAACTTATTATCTCAATTTGGGTACCATAATTTAAAAATAAAACCAATTTTGCAGCCAAATTTTATTTTCTACAAATATTCTCCACTTACATTTAATTTTTCATGGTAAATTCCTTTACTCATTTCCAATTGTTTTCATAGAAATCATGAGACAATTTGCCTGTTCTATTTATAACCAAGACATAATAATTAAACAATCGATCATTCCATTAGAACCCATTTTAATTCATTACTTGATAACAAGTGATAATTCTTTTGGTCATAGATCAATTCATATTTTTTTCATTTATGTTTTTAGGTTACTTTTCATCCCAATCTTTATAAGCATCGATTTTTCAAATAGATATAATACAATTCATTAAACCCAATTGAGTCAGTTTCAGTATATGCATAAACTTATGCAATATAATCAATATTTTGTATATTGTGTTTTGACTTTACACACTAATGAAATTAATTGTTAATGTGTTTATCTCATTTAGTCAATCTTCTTATCAGCAATTATGCAAAAATAAAATACATACCTCTAATTAAGATCTTTATGAAAATTAATATTTTGATCTATGAAAACTTTAATCTTTTGACACGTTAAGCCTCATCTAATATTGATCTCCAAATCATGATAATTTTTTTCCTTGTATCTTCCTAATGCGAAATATAAATTTCTCATAATTACCTTTAAATTATTATAAAAAATAAATAAGAGAATAAAAATAATATAAAAGAATTTTGGCTTTGAGACATAAAGAACATTTTTTTAAAGATAATTATACTTTTAGAATACAATAAAGCCTTAAAACTCTTTAATCAGAGTAGTGAAAATGATTATACTGAAAGATTTATTTATAATGAATGAATAAATATAAATTTCTATTTAAATGATTATGATCTTTTGTATAATCATGACTTTTATAAATAATAATCTATTTATATTTAAATACTTATGATAATTTCTCATATGATAATTATTTTTATTCAAATATAATTATTTAAAATAAAAATAAAATTAATACAAAAATTAACTTTACTCATTAATAATTAAATTTTTTTATTTAATATAAAATGTATCACAGTCCAAACTACCAACAAATACTATCAACTTTTGGAATTTATGCTTTGCAACGAATAGATTTGAGAAAGTCTTAAGGCCAAAAAGACGTTTGAATTCTATTCAACCTTTCTACATTAATTAGTACTTTCTATAATAAAAGGGAATTCAAGTTCCTTTGAATGTCACGTGTCACAATTGTTTTTTCGAACTGGGGGATATGCATGTGTGTTGGAGAAGAGGATTTTGGGTGTTGACCTATGCTATGCATGGGTGATTCGTTGAGCATATGATTTGGATGATTTACGTGCCATTTGATGGATTCTCCTTTGAAAGAAATGGTGCCAGCTGAATTGAGGATTGCTCGTCATTTCCTATCATGCTTTCCCAAGTTGTATCCTTTTCTTCTTAATACTAGCGATTCCACCGTTAATGCTTTCCATATATAGAAGCCGCCCTCACGAGTCTTTCTTATTGATTATAGAGTACATGCTATTTGGCTGCACATGTTCATTCTTTGGTCAAGCACTTAAAACATTTGGTTGTTCCCCTTGTAAGTCAATGATAGTTTTGTAGTTTACTATTAACTTTCAAGCTTGCTGTTTTGGCAAGTTTAATTTCCATATCAACATTCTCCTCTTCCCCTTCCTTTTTGCTAGTTTTGTTTGTATTCCTCTGTATGGTTTTTAATGTTGGGAGTATTGGTGGTCTTGGATACTGAAATCTTTGTTTATTTGCTTCACTACTCCTTTTCTACTGTTCATCTTTCGTTTTTTTCATATCAAGAATAGAGTTGCATTGTTGTCCTACATACATCATGTAACATTATCAGAACTACCATATTCCCAGAGGCCATTTTTTTTCATTTTAATTTTCTCTAGAAAGAAGCATCTTGAAACTATACTAACAATATCATGGACAACATCTTCGAGTTAGGATACCATAACCCAAATCCAGTTACCTTTTCTACGTCTAACAACTCTATGGGGGAATGGAATGTTTAAATTTGAATCCAGCCAGTTATTAGTGAAAAGGAGGAGAATATATGTGTGTTATAAGCCCTTAGGCTTCTCTTCCTAGGATGATAAAAGCAGATCAGATGCCTTTTGTGTCCTCACAAAAGATTGCAGTTGGAATGTCATCCAATCTTAATAGCCGGAAGTTGTCATATATTGAACGGTTACATTAAAAATCAGCTGATAAAGAGAATCGATCTTTGAGATGCCATACCTTCTAATGTGTTGAGCATTTAGTTTAATCTCTCTCAATAAGAACATTGACCCCCAAAAGTAGGGAAGTGTAAATGTACAGAAGAAAGCATTCACTGCATTAAACTTTTGTCTGTAGGATGTAACTCCTAGCTCGAGCTGAACAAAAGAGAGCCACAACACCAAAATAGAAACTAACAAAAGCACTTATACAGAACACCCAAACCAGTATTGGTCCCTCAACTTCTTCAAATGTCTTCCCAGGTACAGCAGGGAGGCTTGCTCTGTCACATCCCTCACCGGAGGACTCCACACATAAATCCGGATTACCAGCAAACGCTCCTGGGAATCTCCGATATCCCTGATTAACAGGAATAGAACCAGAAAATCTGTTATATGATAAATTCAAGAGTATCAGATTTCTAAGGGTGGAGATATTTCCAGGGATCTGGCCAGATAAGGAATTATGTGACAAATCCAAGACCCTTAAGTTCTGCATTTTCTCCAAACTTGGAAGCTGACCATCGAGAATATTATAAGATAAATTTAGATATTCCAATCCTTCTACTTGAAAGAGAACATCTGGAATCTCACCCCGTAACAAATTATCAGACAAGTCAATTCCAACTGTTGAAGAAACCATGTAGTTGAAACTCAATTCCTTACTATCAATGACCATGGCAGAAATTTTTATCTCAGCATTTCTCATTGCAATAAATGGCTCTTTAGGTTCTCTATCAATGTTTCCATTGTTATTGCGAAAGCTAATATTGAAGTTACCATCTGGAATGAAGCCTGAGAATTTGTTCCCAGAGAAATCAATCATTTGGATTGCTTCAAAACTGAATAGCCAGCTGGGTAAATTCCCACTGAATTTGTTCTGAGCTAGGGAGAGATACTTGAGGTTTGACCATTTGGTTATTGCATCATTCAGTGTTCCAGAGAGGTTGTTGGAGCTAAAATCTACAATCTCTAGTGATTTTAACCCTGCCAAGGTTAGTGGGATTTCACCAGAAATCTTGTTGTGACTGACATCCAATATCTTCAAGCTATCTAATGCATCAAGCTCAGGTTGAATTTCACCAGAAAGATTGTTGTCATTGAGTATCAATACAAGTAACTGAAAACACCCAACAATATCCAATGGAATTGAACCTGATAAGGAGTTGTGTGACAGATCAATTACTTGGAGATAAGTCAAATTTCCAATACTTGCTGGAATTGCCCCTGTAAGCAGATTATGAGAAAGAAATAGTGCTTGCAAGCTTTTCAGCTCGGTGATCTTCAATGGGATTTTACCAGAAAACTGATTGTAAGAGAGGTCCAGAAGAACGAGGCCTGATTTTTCTGTTGCCTCTGCAATTTTGCCTGGAAGAGGACCTGATAAAGCATTGAAACTCAAGTCCAACACAAGCAACTTTTCTGTAAACACAAGTCTCGGAGATAAACCATAACTCAGGTGATTAAATGATAGATTAAGATGTGCCAATAGTTCCAGCGAGGCTATACAAGTAGGTATTCCTCCCACAAGAGAATTGTTAGCCAATGTCAGAACAGTTAGACTCTGTGTAGAAGCAGAAAAACAAGGCAATGTACCAAATAACTGATTTGAAGCGAGATTCAGAAACTCCAATGACTGATAAAACTCATGAATATTGCCTGATAAACAATTGTCTCCAAGATCCAAGTGCCTCAAGGACTTCAAGTAAAACAAGCTGTCAGGCATCTCCCCATGAAATGAATTCGAGCCCAAATCAAGTTTTTCCAAATTGCTCGAAAAGTTACCAATCCACCACGGCAAAACACCACCAAGTTCTCGGTTTCCATTCAACACAAGTTCTCTCAATTGCCTAAGCCTCATGATATCATCCGGTAGAACTCCACTAAAGATATTGTGACTAAGATCAAGAGTCTTAAGACTACCCAATGAACCAAAACATTTTGGAATTGTGCCATTGAAGTTATTCTGAGATAATTTCAAGTATTCAAGAAATGATAGTTCACATAAACCAAGGTGCACTTTACCAGACAAATTCATATTAGCCAGGTTCACAGAAATAACCCGACCAGTCCTGTTTTCACAAGAAATTCCGGTCCAGTTTGTGCAGTTTGACCCGAACCAGGTTGCTAAGCTCAGGCCAGGGTCTTGAACTGATGACCTGAATGACAACAGTGAGGCTTTGTCCTCTGGGTCAAGATCAAAACAATGAGATGGGCTAAACAAACATAGAGGTAGCATTAGCAAGAGCAAGAGTGGCAGTGCAGGTAATTTTGAGGGTATCCAGGGGTGAAAAACAGGAGCATCCCATCTCAATTCCATGAGTGAAACAAACTCAAAAACTGAAGCTAAACTATGAAATATTTACAGTTCCATATGCTAAAACATAAAACCCATTTCTTCTGATGTCCTAAATAAGCTAAATGTTTCAAGCCATAAACTGAAGTTCCAAGAGTAAAGAACAGCACAGTGGGCAGAAGAAGTAAAAAGGGAGTTTTACAAGGATGAAAACCTGTGTTCTTCTTCAATGGAAGTAGAAGAGTTTTCAACAAACAGAAAACTGAATAATGTACTTAGATAGAGAGAGACAGAGACTTACTGGAGGAAGTGGAGAATTTTTGCAGCTAAGAACAGTTATGTGCGTAAGTTCTACCAAGGAATAATTACTCAAACATTCTCGTTCCTTTTTCTTTTTAAAATGCGCTTACTAAAGTAAAGCGGACATGACTTTATTTACGAGTTTATATTTATGTATGCTAAGGGAATAAAGTTTGTATATTATTAAATGAATTGAATGATGTAATTTTATTAATGATTAAATATAAATTTTTATTAATTTTAAAAAATAAATATATAAAAAATTAATAAATGAATTGAATGATGTAATTTTATTAATGATTAAATATAAATTTTTATTAATTTTAAAAAATAAATATATAAAAATTAATTTTTGAAAAAATATTAATTAATTAACATCATTTAATTTAATTGAATGATAATATAAATTTTATACATCAGAATCAGATAATTAATCAAATATAAGTTTATTATGAATTCATTATTTATTCCTTACTTTTTTTTCTTTTATTAAAATATAAGACGTAAACTTGTTTTTGGGTTCCTTTACCCATCCATATGGAAAATGTTATGGGCTTCATACGAAAGAGATCCAAAGCACCTTGCTTTTGTGGAAGGCTAAAAGCGGAAAACAGTGGTACGACTTTGGATTTGGTGTTAAAGTGCTGCCCATGTACCAAACTCTAATTGGGCTGCTCAGTTTGAATCCAAGGATCATTGAGAAAAATGGATAAAGAGAAAAGATACAGACAATTGTTTTACTTGATACCCTTAGACTTTTAGATTTAAAACAAAAATAATCTTCCCAAGTTGATGAAAAATTCCTTGCCAACCAAGCAAAACAAATTACTACTATGAGATATAAGTTGAGATATAGTTATCCAGTAACAGTGATAATAAAAAAAATAAATAAAAATATGATTGTATGAAAAATAAGATACTATTGTCCTTAATGCTTGTAAGTGGTTACGTCTTCTTGGATAATAAATATTTATTCAAAAAATTACTACTAGTAATTTACATTTGAGAGACATATAAAACAGTGAATCTGAGTTGAAGTTGCATTCACATGTAGCCATGGAGTTTCTATTTGGGCTTAGTGCTTTCAATTAATCGACTAACTACAAAAGTCCTAAATTAATAACAATAATAAAATTAGAGTGAACAACTCAATCCGTTCTCGACGGATTTCGATCCGACTCGATTTTAAAAGATTAATTTTATTTTTTTTAAATCGAGTTTCAGATCAAATCAAATCGGGTAATGCTAAGAAAGGTCAGGTTAGGGTTTTAGATAAATCGGACCTGACCCAATATTATATAAAAATAATTTTTAAATTAATTTTTTATTTATATATTTATATAATTATATATTTTAAATACTTATATTTAAAAAATAATATTTTATATTTAAAAATAATAATATTTTATTAATTTCGGATTGGATCAGATACGGTTTATATAATATCGGATCGAATTCGAGTATTAAAAAAATAAAAAAATTCATATCGAATTAAGTTTGGATTTAACAAATATAAAATCAAATCAGATTCGAAACGAGCAAAAACTCGTTTCAACCCGTTGTCATCCCTAAACAAAACGTGTCAACTCACATTTTAATTGCTATGAACGTATTGTCTTAGATTTTATCATGTTTGCATAAGCCATCCAACAAAATTGGATAGCTCACTTGATTCGGAACTTGTCCAGAAGCACACATTTTTCGAAAACCCCGTCCTTATCTCTTCTTAGATCATCTAAAAACCCCCCCATCCTGTTTTTGAAACATTTTTTCAGCTTATCGAGTCAAAGTGACTATGCAAAAGCTTGATATATAGCACAAACTCACACGTCTTAAACTCATTTCCTTATCTGAAATGCTTACTTTCAAATGGCAAATATAATACATGAATCCGGTCTAATGAATTTTAACCTGTTTAAACATTTCTTTTCATTAAAAAAAAAAAAATCATGGTGTAACTAATGAACTAACTGTGTATTTTTCAACATTGGAATTCAAAATCTTTAAATGTTATTGCAATGTGTAGTTCAAGGTATTTTTTTGTTGTATTTTCTTGTTTTATTTCTATTTACTATTATAATTTATATTTGATATATTATGAATATATAAATTTTATATACTATCAATATTGATAATTAATTAATTAATAAATTTAAAAATTAAGAGTTTGTAAAAGATAAAGCTTAAAAATAAAAATCAATAATTACTTTTGTTCAATTAAGTAAATTTTAGTATTTAATTATTTATCTTTAAGGACTCGGAATTTTTTAAAATTACTTAAGGTATAGCCGCGAAATAATTTTAGGGCAAGAGGTTGATTGGAATAGAGGCGTCTATTATTGACCCTTCTGTATTTTGTTGGTTTGATGGAATGATTGCTAACTCAAATACGTAATTTTTTGCCAGCCTAACGTCATGGAAAGTTACTTTCTTTGGAGATATTGGTTTTTATTATATTTTTAAGTGTGAAATAATTAAATCTGCTACAATGATAATTAGGTTGCGAAGCTTACATTTCCTTTATGGTTTATTCTTCTAATATATGGTTCCAGGATTTTGTGCCTACTTCTCTTGATTTTTGTTAATGAATTATGGTTAAAAATAAGATAAATTATTTAATATATTGTTATTGAAGTTTTTTAATTTTACAAATTAGATTAACAGGATGATATATTTTCTTTTTTTTTTTTAAATTAGTCTTCATTTTTTAAATATATATTAAGAAAGTGTTTGATTTGAAAAAAGGTAATTTTTTGAACAAAATCTTACTTTTTGTAATTTAATTTCTTGATTTGGCTCATGGTAATGTGATTACTGGGATTGTTTAAGATTTTTAACAGTATTAAGAAGTAAGAGAATAAAAAAAAGAGGAAAATAAAAATCTCTACTCTCTCTGAAGTTAAAAAATTATGCCATGTAAAAGAAGTTGATCTGGTGAATCCATTGATCATAAATAGGATTGGGAATCATTTCAGGAGAATTGGAATTTTCTTTGACAATTATTTTTGGTGGACAAGGGATTGATCCATCAACATAGCCCAAAACTAGCTAGCCAAGCAAAAGGGACTTGAATTGTTGCTCTTAGAATGTGTGATCGAGTTTGAATGGGAGATGGGCAATAGCATTGATAGTAAAGAAAGGTGTTCGGTGGTTGAAAAATAAGATATTAGATCCAGTGTTGGTAGTCAATCCATCTACTGGATTGGAACTAGTATTGTGGGAAGTTGGATTAGAAAAGTTGTTGATAATAGTGAAAATGGTGTGATTTGACATTGCAGACAAATAATAAAAAAATAATAATAAAGGGAAGATTGAAGATTATCATAAAAGGAAAGAATCAACACTATACTCGTTTGAGCTCGTTGGCCTGATACCATAAAAGGGTTTGAAGAAAAATAGAATTGAGAGGAAATGGTTTGAAGTCAACTGATGTGTTGTATGGTATTTATAGTACAAAGAAGAATGAACAAGATAAATACAAGATAAAAGGTAAATACCAAAAAATACAAAATAAATACATGATAAATATATAATGTGATAAAAATATACAAAATCCAACTAAAAATAAGATAGAGTGGAGTGATTAAGAAAATGATCATGATAATCATGATCTGTTAAAGTGTAATCTTAATCTGTCAAAGTTCTATTTCCTCCTATAGAAACATGAAATTGTGGAAAGAAATTATAGGTACCTCATTTCTTAATATTCAAATTAATGCTTATTTTTCTACACATATTTAATTGATATTGTAATACCCAAGCCCAAGTTGTTATAGCCTAATCAATTACCCAGCCCATAAGTATCATTAATGTTAAAAAAAAATACTAAAGGAGAAAAAAAATTAGAAAAAAAACTTATCGACAATTTTTGTGATAGTTTTCCCTAACAAAAAAGAAAAAGAAAAAGAGAAAAACTTAAAGAAACTCTCGAGAAGAGATAGAGAGGAAGAGGAAAGGCAAATCAATCATAAATTTTTTTTAAAATTTTCATGTTTTATGAAATTTTTTATAAACTTTATCTTATATTTTTGTATATTTTCATTTTAAAAAAATTTTGGTGACTTTTTAATGACAATCCGATGAAATTGTAGGTGTCAATGAAAAGGTTTCTTCAAAACCTTTTTAATAGTACATGTGACACTTTATTTGATTAAGCAATTTAAGAAAATTGAATATTTGAAATTTTTTATTTTTGAATTTTTTATAATTATAAATGTCCGACTTTGAGGCCAGAGCTCCCTACTCTAGTGATCGATTTGATTAAATTTTAAGTGCATTTGATAGTACAAAATATGAAATCTTTAATGGTATAATTGGTTTATTCATATAATTTATAGCCTAAGAGAAATGAAGCCCCAAAATAGTCTTTATAAATCTGAAACTCAAAAAATTTGAATTATTTGTAATAATTTGTCAAGTTTTGATCTTTGAAACTTAAGCTTCCAAAAATCATTTTTGCCAAAACAAAATTCTAGGTTGTAGTATTACATCCATACTTTAAATTCGTGCCTCCCTTTGTCATTAGGAACTGTAGGATGTTCAAGTTTTTATAGCTCAAAGTAAGCCAAATGATCACAAAATGTGAAATTTTTAGAATTTAAAAATTCTTATTTTTAATTATTTTTAAAATTATTTCCAGCCAAAATTTGATGTATGTAGTTGTAAATTACTTGAATTTTGGTTATATTATTTTTAATAAATTTTTACTTGTTTTAGTATATTTTTACTGTATTAATTTCATATTATTAATATTGTTAAAGAGTTATTAAATTATATTCAAATTTAAAAAAATTAAATATTTGTAAAAATTTATATTGTTACTGATTTTTATGTTTTAATTCTTAATTTCATATTTATACTCAATTTTAGACATTTTGTTATATCAAAAGAAATTATTTTATATGCTAAAAAAATATTTTCAAATTGTTTCGAATTGTTGAAAAGGTTGACACATAATCCAATTTGCTTAGAATAACCTGTGGGAGGTTTACCTTATTAAATTTATGTTTTTGGGTAAAATTTTGATTTTTGAATATTTCTTGAATTATTAGGATACCAAGATAATTGAGTGATTTGCTACTTAAGTATCGATTTAAC